TCCGGTTTCCCCTACCACTAAAAATATGTACAATAGGTCTGGCATGCGCCTCCTGTTCGGCGACCCCGCTCCCATCTCTGTGTGGAGTGAGAGGACAAGTGCCCAAAAAATAACAATTGTAAACCGCTTTGTGACTCTGGTCTGTGAAAGGCGGTATATAAATAAAGCTTACTTACTTACTACTTACTTACTTACTCAGTAGCGCATGGGACTTCACGGAGACCGGGAGATTAGCAGAACTCGCCTATATTTGGGCATCGTCTGGTCCTCCCGGTTCTGCGCAGTGGACTAGCTCCCATGATGTGTAGCGCCAAATACGCGTGTGTGGCTTTCATGCGTGTGCACAGAGGGGCTCTGACCAATCAGCAGTGATGGGAATAACGGCGTTATTAGTAACGGCGTTACTAACGCCGTTACTTTTTTCAGTAACGAGTAATCTAACTAATTACTTTGACAGTAACTATAACGCCGTTATCATTTCCGACATCCCGTTACTGCGCGTTACTCAAGACGCACAATGAACATGTTGTCATGAGAGAAGGGAGGATGAGAAAACCTCTCAGCAATTATTGGCTGATGTAAAACATATTTCCTTTACAATCTACATGTCTACAGTTGAGAGGATGGTCATAAATTGTGTTTTTGAAACAAATATGGGTCCTAATCGCGCTCAACTACGGCTTCTATTGAGAGTGAGGAGTTGTCGTCATAGCACAGAGCCCCTCCCCGTCTCCGCCATGTTGGTAGGATCCCAGCGGCAAACACTTGTTGTTGTTAACTCGGTAGCAAAGGAGGTCGTCGCTATTTCTGTTTTACCATGCCTGGAGCTCATTGCTGTGTTTAAAACTGCTCCAGTACCTCACACAATAAGAAAGGAAAACGTAGGAACAACGGTTTACAATTGTTTAGGCTACCAAAATGGATACAACATCAGGGAGCGCAAGTGTCTGACCTGACGAAGAGACGCCGGTGAACGAGTTCTACTTACTCATCGATCAAAATGCTCGAAAGTAGGCGTGGCTTAGACATTTTTCACAATAAAAGCCCACTGCCTCTGCGGGACCTCTAAAGTCCGAAATAAAGACTTCTTTCTCGTAGTGTTTCTGACGAAGGATTGCTATCACATATAATCAACGTAAATCAGATGTGTTGTTGCTGTTCCATATACTGTCTGTGAATCGCGAACTGTTTCCCATGACACTGACCTGAACAGCTGCAAGGTGCGCAGTTTAACCTGGAGCTGCGGTGGGACTGTGGTGTTTCCATTCAATAAACACGTTCACAACAGCGATTTACAAACACATGACCAGCGCCTGCTCTCACACATTGTTCTCATATACTACAGTCATAAGAAATATTGATGTAGAAAAAGAAATCACATGTGGAATTAATGCTGTATGTGATCACTATCACAGACCAGGAAAAGGACGTTCGGGTTGTATGAGTGAGCAATAATGTGACTAATAATGAGCATGCAACTGTGACAGGACGAACATGTGTGTGTGTGTAAAGCATGACAGCAGCAAGAGGGTGTCACTGAAAGATGACAGCAGACGGCCAAACACATGTTTTATTTGTAGAGTGGGCTAGATCCACCTGCGTGTCCGCGTACTCGCACCCCGCTTCATCTGTCTCCAAAGCATTGTAACGCAATGTCACTGGCAATAGAATGGTACACCCTGTTCCTGTTACCTGTGTCGTGTAGCCACAGACACACACACATAGATCGTACGCTCGGACGCGGTTTGGTACGTGGTGCAGCGACAGATTAACGTCTCAGAGACGTCTCTGCAGCATTTCTCTGTCACAGCGCTGCGGACTATGTGTTTTACGCGTTGCTCGGTCACAATTTCATGTCACAATTGTTCCCTTGTGTGCAGTATGACTGGACCAACATAAACATTTGTAATGAGCACAGCACAACACTGACATGAGCAGCTGCAAGGTTTGCAGGTGTACCACGTCCACCCCAAATATACATCATTTTGGCCATCTGCTACTGTCAGCGAAATGTCCAGCAATCAACATTAATTTTTATGCATATTCATCATCATTCATGGGCATTGGTCTTTCTCTATGAACCAATACACATGGGTTCAATATTTCCTGGGTCTTCGCTGTTGATTCTCCAATCTGTGTTGGTGATTTCAACGTGTCTGTGTGGTCCTCTGAGATGACTGCTGCACAGTCCATCTCACACAAGGCACACATCTTTACATGAAACACACACAAAGATTAAACACCAGGCAAATCACACATGCAATGAAATAAACAAAACATCACACAAGGGACTCTTAATAACCACAGTGCACAACAAAATGGAGATACAATTCCTCGCACACACAACCCTCATCATAACTTGCATTTGAACATTGTCTTCCCCCACATGTTTAGTCTTGACTGTGGGCGCCAGCAGAGTCAGACTGATCATATGGCACCAACATGTCACAGATGTACCCTGGTGCGAGGCCGTGTTGAATCAGGCCTCCAACTCCATGAATCCAATTAAGTCCAATAGCTGGGAGCTAAGGTGAGCCCATAGTCTCACGTTACTACTCAGGAATAATATACTAATAGACATGTATACTCAATGAGTGGATGTCATGTTCTGGGCTGTTATTGCCTGATCATTTTACCAGTTATGTGCACATTGACATGTTTGTACATTTAGGAATACACACAAAAGGTGAACAAGAATGTTTACAAAGTGTCCCCTCTAGCTTGCAGTACTTGAAGTTGCTTGTGAAGAGACTAAATGGCCCAATTCGGCTCCACAACACATGGTGCTCATGCTTGCTGTGATCAGCTGTAGAACTGGAATACAGACAGAGGTGTGAACATTGTGAGATTCATGCTCCACTAACAACCCTCCATAACAGGTACCCCAAAGTCATACGTTTCTTACAGTGCCATCAGGGGCTTCAGGCTTGCGGTCTCCTCATCTTCGCTGTCCATACGGAAACACCCACCTTGTTGCCTATGTCCTTCCCCATCAAACCATTGGTGGAAGGGTGGTAGGGGGAACACATACTGAGCTTCACCCCTAGTTGTCTGCATACTGCTGTAATCAACGGAATTCACAAGCAATGACACAATCCTGAACACGAACAGCCTTATTCTTCCCTAGGCCTACCTTATTGATGAATTCAGTGCCACGTCTGTGAGGATCCTCTGTGGGGCGCCAAAGCGATAGAAATTTGGCACTCAGTGCACTGCTTCACCTTTTGTTAGTAATAATAGCAATATAAGAAATCCTCATCAAGATTTTACATTATTGAGATCAAAGCCACTGAGTGCATTATATAGACAGTCAATAGGCCCAAACATACCCATGACTGAATGTCCCTCTCCATTTTAGGCCAGTAATAACGTGCAATGATGGCCCAGTGGGTTTTCTCCCAGCCATATATATTCTATGGAGGCCTGATTCAACACGGCCCCGCACCAGGGTACATCTGTGACATGTTGGTGCCATATGATCAGTCTGACTCTGCTGGCGCCCACAGTCAAGACTAAACATGTGGGGGAAGACAATGTTCAAATGAAAGTTATGATGAGGGTTGTGTGTGCGAGGAATTGTATCTCCATTTTGTTGTGCACTGTGGTTATTAAGAGTCCCTTGTGTGATGTTTTGTTTATTTCATTGCATGTGTGATTTGCCTGGTGTTTAATCTTTGTGTGTGTTTCATGTAAAGATGTGTGCCTTGTGTGAGATGGACTGTGCAGCAGTCATCTCAGAGGACCACACAGACACGTTGAAATCACCAACACAGATTGGAGAATCAACAGCGAAGACCCAGGAAATATTGAACCCATGTGTATTGGTTCATAGAGAAAGACCAATGCCCATGAATGATGATGAATATGCATACAAATTAATGTTGATTGCTGGACATGTCGCTGACAGTAGCAGATGGCCAAAATGATGTATATTTGGGGTGGACGTGGTACACCTGCAAACCTTGCAGCTGCTCATGTCAGTGTTGTGCTGTGCTCATTACAAATGTTTATGTTGGTCCAGTCATACTGCACACAAGGGAACAATTGTGACATGAAATTGTGACCGAGCAACGCGTAAAACACATAGTCCGCAGCGCTGTGACAGAGAAATGCTGCAGAGACGTCTCTGAGACGTTAATCTGTCGCTGCACCACGTACCAAACCGCGTCCGAGCGTACGATCTATGTGTGTGTGTCTGTGGCTACACGACACAGGTAACAGGAACAGGGTGTACCATTCTATTGCCAGTGACATTGCGTTACAATGCTTTGGAGACAGATGAAGCGGGGTGCGAGTACGCGGACACGCAGGTGGATCTAGCCCACTCTACAAATAAAACATGTGTTTGGCCGTCTGCTGTCATCTTTCAGTGACACCCTCTTGCTGCTGTCATGCTTTACACACACACACATGTTCGTCCTGTCACAGTTGCATGCTCATTATTAGTCACATTATTGCTCACTCATACAACCCGAACGTCCTTTTCCTGGTCTGTGATAGCGATCACATACAGCATTAATTCCACATGTGATTTCTTTTTCTACATCAATATTTCTTATGACTGTAGTATATGAGAACAATGTGTGAGAGCAGGCGCTGGTCATGTGTTTGTAAATCGCTGTTGTGAGCGTGTTTATTGAATGGAAACACCACAGTCCCACCGCAGCTCCAGGTTAAACTGCGCACCTTGCAGCTGTTCAGGTCAGTGTCATGGGAAACAGTTCGCGATTCACAGACAGTATATGGAACAGCAACAACACATCTGATTTACGTTGATTATATGTGATAGCAATCCTTCGTCAGAAACACTACGAGAAAGAAGTCTTTATTTCGGACTTTAGAGGTCCCGCAGAGGCAGTGGGCTTTTATTGTGAAAAATGTCTAAGCCACGCCTACTTTCGAGCATTTTGATCGATGAGTAAGTAGAACTCGTTCACCGGATGGCTTGGTTGGCTGCAATAAGAAGAAAGGACCTTACTTTCGATCTCACCCCCCAGTCGATGAGAGTGTGTTCTCTGCATTTTCACTCGGGTACGTCCTAAAATGTCTTTATGTTGTTTTTTTAAAGTTAAGAAGTGTAGGGTACCTAGCTGTTAATGTTGCAAACACTGAAGTGCATCTTAAGTTAGCTGCCTAGCTAACTATCTAACAAACTGTTGCCTCTATGAAAATGCTTAATGGCCAACCATTAATGCTAACTAAGAATATTTAAGTTTCTGCTCATTATCCTACCTTGTTGGTGGAATATGGGCACTCAAAGTGCGTTTGTCTCTGTCTCTTATGTTCTCTAAACCAGTGGTGCCCATACTTTTTTTTTGTCTTGTGTTGCCACTACCCCCTGAGCCCCTTTATGAAACCATGAATAGCGTTACCTTCTTGTTTAATATTTTTTTAGATTCCAGATTGTTTAATAATCTTATTAATCTGATGTAAGTAAACCATTATATGAGATTGCTAAAAATAGTTGAGATTCTGTTCATGACATTATGCTACCTTGTTGCCAGTTTAAAGCATTGACTACATAGATTATTCTGTTCTAGGTAAACCATCATATGAGATGTTGGAGAATCACCCTGACTGGACACCATCCTTGCGGTTAGGCCACAATAATGTTAAAGAAACAGATGGAGCGCGATATCAGCGACAAGTAAAGCGCAGGACCCCGCATCTGGAGCAGTCATCACTCCCAGCCCAAGCCCAGCAGCCTCCATCACCAGCCCAAGCCCAGCAGCCTCCATCGCCAGCCCAAGCCCAGCAGCCTCCATCACCAGCCCAAGCCCAGCAGCCTCCATCGCCAGCCCAAGCCCAGCAGCCTCCATCGCCAGCCCAAGCCCAGCAGCCTCCATCGCCGGCCCAAGCCCAGCAGCCTCCATCGCCAGCCCAAGCCCAGTAGCCTCCATCGCCAGCCCAAGCCCAGCAGCCTCCATCGCCAGCCCAAGCCCAGCAGCCTCCATCGCCAGCCCAAGCCCAGCAGCCTCCATCGCCAGCCCAAGCCCAGCAGCCTCCATCGCCAGCCCAAGCCCAGCAGCCTCCATCGCCGGCCCAGCAGCTGCCTCAAGGAAGGATGAGGAAGCTCTCACCCTTCCAGCTTGTCCTATTGACTGTAATGCGCCTCAGATTAGACCTTCCATCTCAGAATTCACGTTGAGAGGGTGATTGGTGTTGTGCGCAACAAATTCAAATTCTTACATTCAACTGTACCTGTGCATATGCTTCTCAAATGTGAGGGTGAAAACCTAATGCCTTTAGATAAGATTGTCACTGTTTGCTGTGCCTTAACGAACATGTGCAAAAGTGTTGTTTGAGTGCCTTGTTCATAACTTATGAACCAACCAGAACCCCTCATGTCATCTGGATCCGAGTCCAGAGTCAGAACCAGACACGGAGAAGCTGCATTCAGCTTCTATGCTCCACATGTCTGGAACAAACTCCCAGAAAGCCTCAGATCAGCTGAAACACTCAGTTTGTTTACATCCAGGTTAAAGACCCACCTGTTCTCAGCTGCTTTTGAATATGTTTTATTCTAATGTACAAATCTGCACGGCTTCTTTTAAGCTGGAATTACTTATCTGTTATCTTTTTCTTATGAATTTTTGTTTTTAATTTTAAATCATGCTTTTTATTCTGTTACTTTTTAATGCTTCTTCTGCAACCAGCTGTAATGCTTCTTAATTTTTTATTTAAAGTACTTTGAATTGTTTTGTAACATGAATTGTGCTGTACAAATAAACTTGCCTTGCCTTTTAATTTCTTTGAAATAAATGTTTGAAACAACTTCATGTGGCAAAGCAATATTTATTGAGAAATTAACATTTTTTTGGAGGGGGGGGTGTAATCTCTTGGAAAAGTTAACAGTGCAAAAGAACGTGTGCAGTCAACGTATAAATATTTCAGCATGAAAAGACGGACAACATAATAAAATAGTAATACTGCTGTTAGTGCAAGTACAACGGTGTTTTCACCGCCTGGAGGCTTGTAGATGGCCAAGTCCTGCACCCAACCACAGCAGAAAGCCTCGTAACTCTCCAGTGACTTGTGACTTCTAAACTCCTGCATTGTATAATAACTAACACCGAAAACAAGGTAATTCACTATATCCATGTACGTGCACGGAGGCAAAAAGTCAAGGTATTTTTGCCACTCCGCTGCAGGAAGCTCGTATGGGTCTACCTGTTGTATGTCTGAGAGCTTCTCCAAATAACGTTGTTTTGCTTTTCCCTGTACGGTCCATTTCCTTTCGCCTTCACTTTCTCCATTAACTGTCTTGCTAGTGTTGTAATCGTAGATGTATCTACTGCCGAAATAATAAACGGCCGCTCAAGTTAAAGACCTCTGGAGCGTTAGCATAGATAGACTGTAGCTATATATTGAGCGTTAGTGGCGTTGCCCCTGGCAACCGATAGAGGATCCTATCAACATGGCCGACCGTATTAGACCCCGCCCAAATTATCACGTGACTCCTCATTCTCAATCACCGTGAGGCCAGCCTCAGAGGAGCGCAGAAGTCGGCTGCATACAATTCCATCGATAAGCTCCTTTCTCTTCCTGGTTTATCTGCTAAGGACAGCAACAGGTTTGGCTAACATACATATAACACATTTTAAGAGAATTTAAAATGCACATAGGGTAATTTTTCAATTACTATAGGAATGATAAGAAAGAGAGGTGAAGTGTAAGACGGTTGGTTTTAGAAATTGGATGCACCCGGCTGCAGCAAAACAGAGGAGTTTATGGAGGACACACGCGTTTTGTTTTACTTTTTAAAACTCATTGGACTCATTTCCAAATGGAGGATTACATATCTACGCTCAAACCATTAACTGGACTTAAACAAGGAACTGGTCTGAACTGAAGTGGTCTGTGCAGGTCATTTATAAGGTAAGACCCATTCTACGTCATGGTGCTACGTCCCTTAGGACTTCGCTAGTGGGATATCACTCGTGACCCCCAGGTCACACGCCAGAGAGATCAAAATAATTTGCTCCAATCACCAGCCACCTTCCTCTATAAATGCCCCTGCACAAGGCCGCACCCCCTCTTTCACTCTGGCGCCGTTCGAGATCTACCACAGTACTTACTTCATTCTGAGATGTCTTCCTTGTTCGTCCGAGTTCCCTTCGCCCTCCGGCGTCGGACGTCGTCACTGGATCCAGACGGTGGAGGACTTCACCTCTGTGGGCGCCACCACTCGAGGGAGGAGGAGGATAAAACCCACGTTGTGCCCGCGGATGGACCCGTTCGTAAGCCCCTAGCAGCCAAGAGGCCTGCACTGGGGTACGACATATACTGCAGCGGGCAGGACTGGTCCTGGACCGGTGATCGAGGATTCAGTCCGCATGGCCCTGCAGCCCTCCGCATCCGTGTGGCCCGGCACCAGACCTCTCCTTCTCTCCGAGCGGGACAGGATGTCTTGCCGAGGCTGGATAGTAAGTAAGTAAGTAAGTAAGTTTTTATTTATATACCGCCTTTTCACTGCAGATCTGAGTCTCAAAGCGGTTTACAATTGTTAATTTTGGGCATTTATCTCTCACTCCACACAGAGATGGGAGCGGGGTCGCCAGTACAGGAAGCGCATGCTAGAACTATTGGACATATTTTTAGTGGTAGGGGAAACCGGAGTACCCGGAGGAAACCTACGCAGACACGGGGAGAACATGCAAACTCCACTCAGAAAGGCCCTGGTCCGACCGGGATTTGAACCCAGGACCTTCTTGCTGAGAGGCGAGAGTGCTATCCACTCAGCCACCGTGCCGCGGATAGATATTATGCCAATGCGGCACAGGTCGTCACATTGGCTATCAACATGACTTTCATCACGGGGGCCCTGGATAGGGCGCTCTCCTCTGGCCAGGCGCTCAGTGGAGACCTCCTGTCACAGGCAAGGACCACCTCGGCGGCGATCCTGCGCATGTGCCAGACGCTAGCCGTGGATGGTGGCCAGGACACCGAGGATTCAGTCCGCATGGCCCTGCAGCCCTCCGCATCCGTGTGGCCCGGCACCAGACCTCTCCTTCCCTCCGAGCGAGACAGGATGTCTTGGCGATGCCGGATAGATGTTATGCCATTGCAGCACAGGTCCTCGCATTGACTAACTACATGGCATTCATCACGGGGGCCCTGGATATGTTGCTCTCTTCTGACCAGGCGCTCAGTGGAGACCTCCTGTCACAGGCGAGGACCACCTCGGCGGCGACTCTGCGCATGTGCCAGACGCTAGCTGTGGATGGTGGCCGCTCCATGGCAGCAGCCCAAGTCGGGCCAGGCACCTTTGGCTTGGGCTGGCTAATATCAGGGAGGCGGAGAGGAGGCAGCTGCTGGACCTGCCCACCTCTCAGATGTCCCCCTTCGGCCCGGACATGCAGGCCTGGGTGGCGAGACTGGAGTCTGCAGCTAAAGACTCGGCTAGGCTAGCCCCGCACCTAGCACCGAGGCGCGAGGCCCACCAACCATCACGGAGCCGGGACAGAGGTCGAGAGCGTTGGCCCGGGAGGCATCCTGACCCGTATCCGCGCTCTGTTATCCATCGTCCCCCCTTGACGAGGCCCCCGGGTCCAGACAGACCCATGGGTGGCTCGCGGGAGCAACGCACCCACCACCGACCTCCCTATGGTAGAGGAGGCCGGGGTGGAAAAATTTTTCCTTCAATAAAGGCCGACCGGCATTTCCATTACTTTTCTGAGTCTGATTTGGGGGTATGTAACATGTCAAATATTGTGAATTCTGATTGTGTTACTCCCCGGGCACATAACGTTGCTTCGCTAGGCCTGCAGCCCCAGAGAGGGGCGTGCAGTGCACTACGAGCTCCGGTTTCTCTGATCCATACTATGCCCTCCCAGAGAGAGGTCAAGCGGAGGGATCTGGTGAGTGATATGTGTGTGCTTCGGCCGAACGCGTGTTAGCATTTTTGAGCTACAGGGCTAACACGGGGTTTCCCACTCCAGGGGCTCGCCCCCCCCTCCATGAGGCAAGAGCCAGGGGGGGGCACAGCAGCCGAGTCACGTGTGGTGAGCAGAGCTACAAGGCTGACACGGGGTTTCCCACTCCAGGGGCTCGCCCCCCCCTCCATGAGGCAAGAGCCAGGGGGGGGCACAGCAGCCGAGTCACGTGGGATGAGCAGTCCCGTACTTATGACGTCGGGCCTGCAGGACACGTGACCGCCCCCGGCGCTCACGGTGTGACGCAGGGTGCCCCCCCGGCCCCTTTCGTCCACCCCCCCTCCCTGCTAGGAACACCAGGAGAGGGCGGGGCCGTGACGTCTCGTGTTCCAGCTCCCGTTCCGCTCCTCACAGACTTCTACAGCATCTGGAGGGAGCAAAGATGGCTGACATATCTATGGCGGGAGAGAACATTGCGCAGGGGTTACGCACTGCAATTCTCCCAGAAGCCACCACCATTCCGAGGCGTACGGGCAGCACGCTCTCAGGTACGGGGTCATTAGAGGCACTGCAAGCGGAGGTCTCCTCTCTGCTGAGTCTAGGCGCAGCAGTAGAGGTAGACCCGCAGGAGGCCACCAGGGGGCTGTACTCCCCTTACTTCCTAGTGCCAAAGAAGTCAGGCGGGGTGCGTCCCATTTTGGATCTGCGCGTGTTGAACGAGTGCATTTCCAAGCGGCAGTTCCGGATGCTGCCCACAAAGCAGCTCCTCGAGTGTGTCAGGCAGGGAGATTGGATAGCCTTCATAGACCTGACAGATGCGTACTTCCACGTGCCGATAGTACCGGAACACAGGAGGTTCTGCGCTTCGCAGTGGGAGAGAGGAATTACGAGTACTGTCGTTTTCCCCTTGGGCTACGCACTCGCGCCGTGGAGCAGGGGTAAGAATTAATCTACATAGACGTCGGGTTAATTCTGGCCTCATCCAGGGAAGTGGCCGTGAGTCATACGCACTGGGTCCTGTCCCACATACAGCGCCTGGGCTTTGTGGTTAACAGGGAGAAAATTAACAGTTACCTTGTAACTTAAGTTCTACGAATAGGTGCACGTGATATCCCACTAGCGAAGTCCGCTAGGGGACGTAGCACCATGACGTAGAAGCAGGCTGCAACCGGCTCAGCGCATGATCTATCTCGGTCTGCAGCTAGACTCTGTGACATTCCGTGCTGCATGGTCCGTGGACAGACGGATGAACACTACCCGTCTGCCCGGGGAGGTTCTGGCGGGCCCCAGAGTCCCCGCTCGGCGCCTCAGGTCCCTGCTGGGAATGATGGCGGCGGCTCATGCTGTGGTGCGGCTAGGCCTTCTCCACATGAGGAATTTTCAGAGGTGGTTCTCACGCCTCAGGCTTCACCCCTCCCGGGACGGGGGGAGGCTGATCTGGGTTCCCCAAGTGGCAGCATCGAACATCAGGTTCTGGCTCACTCCGGGTCTTCTACGGGACGGAGTGACTCTGGCCGGCGCCGTGTCTCACGTGGAGATGTTCACGGACGCGTCGCTCGAAGGATGGGGCGGGGTCCTCGGCCAAAGTTCTGTAGGAGGCTGCTGGTCGGACTCAGCCCATCACATCAACCTGCTGGAGATGGAGGCAGTGCACAGGGTACTGCTGCACTTTGCTCCTCAGCTGCAGGGGAGACACGTGATGGTGCGCTCAGACAACACCACAGTGGTCTCCTATCTGAACAGGCAGGGGAGCACCAGGTCCCCCGCTCTCCATCACATGGCAAAGGTGACGCTGCTGTGGGCGGCGCTTCACCTCCTGTCTCTCAGGGCGCGCCACGTCCCGGGGGTCCGGAACGTGGGGGCCAACAGGGGGGCCGACGTGGGGGGGCCCACTCCAGGACGAGTGGGGCCTGGCCCCAGGGGTGGCTGCGGAGATCTGGCGGAGGTTCGGCCGTCCAGTGGTCGACCTTTTTTCGCCAGTGCAGGAAACGCACAGTGCCCGTCCTGGTTCGCCTCAAGGGCCGCGGACCAGCCGCCTTTAGACGTGGACGCTCTGGCTCATTACCCCTGGCCAGGGGGCCTGCTGTACGCGTTCCCCACCAGTGCGTCTCCTGCCGGTCCTGCTGCGGAGGATCGAACAGGAGAGGAGGTCGGTGATCCTGGTGGCGCCGGACAGTCCGCATGCTCGGTGGTTCCCCTTCCTGAGGGACATGACGGTGATGGAGCCCTGGGCCCTCCCGGACGAGCCGGGGGCTCTAGTCCAGGGGGGGAGGAGCCCTGTTTTCACGCCCGATAATCGGCCGCAGGCTCTGGGTTGGAGGCTGAGAGGCGGAACCTCGTAGACCTGGGTCTTCCCCCTGCGGTGGTGGAGACCACTCAGGGGGCGAGGGCGCCGTCCACTGTGAGGGCCTACGCCACGAGGTGGAGGCTCTTTAGCGACTGGTGCGGTTTTCGTTCCTGGGATCCCAGGCGTTGCCCGCTGGGAGGGGGTCCTGGGATTCCTACGGGAGCTCTTTGACAAGGGGAGGGCTGTCGCCACCTTGGCGGTGTTCGCGGCAGCCATTACTTCGGGTCACAACGGATTCGGGGGGTTCACAGCCCGCTCTCATCCGTTGGTTAAACGTTTTCTGCGGGGGGCACGCAGGAGGAGGCCCCCGCTCCAGAGAACGCCCCGGTTTGGGACCTCAGGGTGGTCCTTAGGGGGCTGTCGGGTCCGCCTTTTGAACCGGCGGCGGAGGCGAGTCCCGAGTGTGTCGCTTTAAGACGGCCCTCTTGTTGGCGTTGGCGTCTGCTAAGAGGGCGGGCGACTTGTGTGCGCTCTCTGTCCATGCGTCTTGCCTGTCCTTGGAGAGGGCGACGGCATGGCGGTATTGTGGCCCAATCCGGCTTTTCTCCCCAAGGTCATCACGTCGGCCTTTAGGTCGAGAGTCATCAGGATTAGGGCTTTCTATCCGCCACCGCATGCCTCCCCCGAGGAGGAGCGGCGGCACCTTCTGTGTCCTGTCAGAATGCTGAGGCATTACCTGGCCATGACGTCGTCATTCAGGTTGGGTGGCCAGCTGTTGTGTGTCTGGGCCCCAAGAACAGGGGCGCCCCGCTGTCGGCTCAGCGGCTGGCGCACTGGGTTGCCACGGCTGTGCGGCGGGCGTATCAGACGCAGGGTCTGGCCCTCCCGGTGGGCTTCAGGTCGCATTCCACGCGTGGGATGGCGGCCTCTACGGTCCTTCTCAGGGGGGTGTCGGTCGAGGACGTATGCCGTGCGGCTTCTTGGGCTTCGTCCTCCTCTTTCGTCCGGTCTTATCTTTTGGATGTGTCGGACCGGTCGGTGGCCCATTCCGTGCTGAGTGCAGCGGACTGAGTTAGACCGTTAGGTCCCTCCTCTGAGGGGGCCTTCGGTTTGCTTTCCGCCCTGGTTCAGGAGCTCTTGGGAGAGGCGTCCTACAGGTGCGGTACATATATGTGTGTTTTGGTCGGTCTGGTAGTCCACGTCCGGAGCCCTTGGGAGAGGTGTCCTGTGACTACGGATGACCTATATCTGTGTTACGTGGGGGTATCCTTGGTAGGAGTGGCCCTGTAACACGCATTGTTTCTTCTGCCCTGAGTCCTCTCACTTTGTGAGGGTCTTGCTCGGGCGGAGCTCCAATCACCCTTCGCTGGCCTGTTGGGAGTACATTTTCCTACGGCCTCCGCGTTGTGTCCCACTAGCGAAGTCCTAAGGGACGTAGCACCATGACGTAGAATTAATAGTTACTTAATGTAACTTAAGTTCTACGAATAGGTGCGTAGTCCCTTAGCTACGAGCCCATCAGGCCAGCCCGGCTTGGCAGAGTTCAAGAGGGGGTGCGGCCTTGTGCAGGGGCATTTATAGAGGAAGGTGGCTGGTGATTGGAGCAAATTATTTTGATCTCTCTGGCGTGTGACCTGGGGGTCACGAGTGATATCCCACTAGCGAAGTCCTAAGGGACTACGCACCTATTCGTAGAACTTAAGTTACATTAAGTAACTATTAATAACTCATAGTTTTGCGTTTTGTATGAACAAACAATGTGGGCATGAAACATATTTTGCTGTAGCCAAACAAACTGTCCAGTTGATTTATATGATATATATGTTCATCTGATTGGGCAGAAGTCGGTGCTTCACTGGTGTTTCCACATTCACAGTGGCGGGTGTTGGTGTTTAGTGCTTACAGCACAGAGAGAGATGAAGAGTGAACAGGACTTCAACAGCAAAACAGACTTTTCTAGATGGAAATATTGGCACTGTTAAAGGTAAAAATGCGCATGTTGGGTGCACATTATGTTCCAGAACAAAACGAAAAAAGTAACGCAATAGTTACTTTTACTGGTAACTAGTTACTTTTATAGTGGAGTAACTCCGTTAGTAACTCAGTTACTTTTTGGGAGAAGTAACTAGTAACTATAACTAATTACTTTTTCAAAGTAACGTGCCCAACACTGCCAATCAGCGCTGCTGATCAGAGCAGCAGCAGAGCGGAGTCAGAGCGTGAAGGCAGGGAGCAGAGTTTGTGGCAGTAAAGTGTGGATTTAAAGAAAACCGAAGGATTTAAGAAGATAAAAAGTTCAGGATGACAAGGGACACAAAAATCCCCACAAAATCCGATATTTATGAAATCTGTAGGTTCTCTGTCAGCTGAAGTCGAGCTGTTTTAATTTACACTGAGTTCTAGGGGACTTTTTTCTGGGTAGCCCAAGTAAATTTAGTTTGTAGTACCACGGGCGCCCCCTGTGCCCATGGGTGGGACAGCTTTAAGCTAGTAATACCCTATCCAGTTATTATTAGATCCATGGAACTTACACTTATTCTGGAGAAAAGCAGTAGGGCACAAGTAGGGGCGTTATTGGCTTTTTTAAAGGGAACTGCAGTGTATGAGAGGATATAAGGTAGGTTAGAAGCATAGGTTGTTAGAAGGTTTTTTATTATTATTATTCCCCTTTCCTTGTTGGGACCATAGACTTTACAGTCTATGGTTTGGGTTTTCGATTATGAGCTTAATGTCTGACCCACTCCGAAACAGAAGATGGCGGTAATGCTCCACTAGTTGGCGGCCAACCGCCGTAAAGTCCAAAAGAAGAAGACGAAGTGACGTGGCTGTGTTTTTCTTTAGCAGCAGAATGTAAACATCCTGTTACCCTCCCATTAGCCTGCTGAATTCTACCGAAGCCCTACCGATGCTTGTGCAGCTGCTGTTTGTGAAACTAGGTAAAAGAGGGGCGGACAGTGGAGCTCAGTGTGGCCGGAAGAAGAGGACTTTCGATCGGACACTACGCCGGTGAGAGTCCCGCTGGTGTTTGAAGGGTGGAAGTCATGTGCTAATGGCTAGCTAAATGCGAAAGCTGCTTATGCTCAGCGCTTTGAGACCAGCGGAGAAATCGGCTCTAGTTTCGGGTCCTTTGCGCGGATAAGGGTTCTCAAAGTCCCGGTTTGGAAGCCTATGTCCGTTTCCATGTGACACATGTACACGCAGCTGTAATACGTTTTTTTGACTGTGATATGAGTTGTGTTTACTGTCTGGACCATGGATCTGTTATAATAACCGTCTGGACCAGCTGTGGTTTGACAGCAGCGGCGACTGTGCACTTCACTAAACCCCACAGCGTGAATTTTAAGACAATTATGAACATTTCCTACAGCACCGGGGCTTCGCACACCCACAGAGCCGGCTGGTGTACAGTCGGTACTTTAGAGGGATTGTTGCCATATTGATATGGCAATGACTACCACTTTTTCAATCCCGATACAATACAATTTATTTACTCATAATACTATATTATAAAGCTTTCAATAACCATTGCATAGAATTTCACATATTTGATTTGAAAAACAGTGTTTTAGAGAATTGATAATGTTCCTTTAAGAGTGTCTTTACAGGGGCAGGAGCCATATGTATTATAATATCTAGGGGCAGACGTGTTGCTGAGACGGTTGCTACATGGATCTATTAGGGTTGCTAAGACAAGCTGGAGTTTCCCCTGCAAATGAAGACATCTGATTGGTCAATCCTTATATGCCTCATATCTGGATTTACAATATCACTATCACAAATAAACACCAGGGTCACAGAAAGCACTTAACCACAGATGTATCTATTTTTGCTGAAAATGGTGTGACACACACTGAGTTAAAGGAGTTTACTTTTACAAGTGAGTCAATAGGAGCAGGTCAGCATTGAGCTAGCGGGTGAGCATTGCCCTTCTTTATACATGTTGCGGCTCTGTTCCTGTCGCCTCTGATCTAAATAAAACGTGATTTTTAAGATTTTGACAGTGATCCTCGAGTCGGTGTTCAATCGGCACAGAGCCAGGGGGCGGGGCTGTGGGTGTCCCCTCATGGATAGCCCTCAGGTGTCAGCTGACCGTATCCCTGGCGATGTGAAAAAAGAGGAGGGGCCTGCAGTAGAAAGGCCAGAGTCAGGTTTGTAACAATTATGTCATAGTGTAAGCGTCATTCAAACCTTCATACACTGTGTCACAGGTGTGTGTGTCACTTTTGTATATCTGTGTCACAGTTGCGTGTCTGTGACACAGTTGTGTTTCTTCTTTCAGTTGTGTTTTTATGTATAGAGGAGAGCTCGAGGATGACCTCAGATGAACACTCCACCGACTCCGCCTCCTTCCCCAGCCTGACTGATGTCATCACAGACAATGACATCACAGATGATGTCACCACAACAGACCTTACAACAGATGATATCATCACAGTGAGCGTGTCCCCAGAACCCACACTCACAGCCGATTGGACAGGTCAGAACTGTGGACACACAAGTACTGCTGTAGTACAAAGTACACAAGTTCTAGTTCTAGTGCACAGTATACAACCATATTTTTCGCACCATTAGGCGCACCTAATTATAAGGCGCACCTAATTATAAGGCGCATTAATTAATGCTGGCACAATGCAGTACAAATATAATTTTTACCTACATTTTGTGAAACAAAACCACCAGATCATTGTGTAAAAACTCATTTAATTTATTTTATTTGTGCCTAATGGTGTGTTCACATTGCCGTCTGCGTCTTTGGCTTTGGGTTTGCATTTCAAAGTGAATGGTGTTGCGCATCAAGTGGCGCAGAGAGGCCAGGCGTCATTTGGCCCACGTCAAAAGCTTTGCTTTTGGTGCGCATTACTTTCGGCGTCAAAATTCCTTTACAACAAAGTTGACAAATGCTGAACTTTTCGACCTTGATGCCAACCAATCAAGAGACATGGTTGCTCGAGTGACACTAACTCGAGCAACCAACCTCAGACTGATAGACAGGTGCTCTTCCGCCTGAAGTATCGCTGAAAGCGAACCTCATCTGTACACAGGTCCTGGAGTAAATGGTGAAACTCACCAAACACTGCACGCCTCTCAAGTATGTGGTGAACCTAGACACGTTGTGTAGAAGCCATACGAAGACGTTGTATGGCTTTATATAACAAAGGCACGCTGATCTCTGGAAATCCGCCATTTTCTCTGGACTACCAGCAATAGAGAAGCTCCTCCAACGCGCGTCACAAACATGTGACACCAAAAGGACATGCGTCAATTTCAAAATAAACCAGCGACAAAAAACGGGCGTCAAGGGTGTTTTGACGCGATCTGATCTGAATGCTGCATAATGTTACAAAAAATACGTTACTTTGTACTTCCCGGACACCTATCATTCACCACATCACCCCAATTTCCCAACAAATTCACTGGCTCCCCATAAAACAATGCATCAACTTTAAAATCTTTCTCACCACATTCAAAGCTCTTCATAACCTAGCTCCATACTATCTGTCTGACCTTCCCATCAACACACCCTCTTGTACACCCTCCTCTCTCCAGCTCTCGGTCCCCTCTTCCCGACTTGTCACCATAGACCCTCCATTGCATTCAGCCGCTCTGCTCCCCAGCTCTGGAACTCACTCTCCCCTGACCTCCGCAACACTGACTCTCTTCCCCTGTTCAAATCCAGATTCAAAACTCACCTTTTCAGACTTTCTTTCCCTACAGTTACCCTAACACTTTCTCCAGTTCTGTTTTTTTAATTGTTTTTAATAATGCTGTTGTTAAATTACACTCTATTTTTAACCATGTTCGTACAGTGTCCTTGGGTGTTTTGAAAGGCGCTTTTAAAAAAAATGTGTTATTATTCTTATTTACACCATAGACAAAGTACTACAGTAGTACACAGTACAAAAATACTACTTTAGTACAAAGTACACTGTTGTCTTACATCCAATAAAGTCAATGTGAACCTTCTATAGAAATTGTAGAATGCGTAATGTAGCCATATATTAAGTATCAATACTTTTTTTTCAAATAAATCTTTAAAAAATATATATTTAAAAAAAAATTGATACTTAGCAAAAGCATATTGATGATCAATTGCGTGAGAAAGTATCACGATACATCACCATATCGATTTGTTGTCACACTCTTACTTCTAGGTCTGTGTTAAGTTTCTGTTTTTCTTCCTGGTATGGAAGACCAAAACTGCCAAAATAATAAAAAAATCAATAATCACCTGTTTGAACTCATTATCAGTTTGAAAGACACCTGTCCACAACATCAAACAGTCACGTTCCAAACTACTTTCAAAAGACATCAGAAACAAATTTGTAGACCTGCACCAGACTGGGTAGACTGAATCTGCAATAGGTAAGCAGCTCAATGTGAAGAAATCAACTTTGGGAGCAATTATTAGATAATGGAAGACACACAAGACCATTGATAATCTCCCTCGCTCTGGGGCTCAACACAAGATCTCACCCCGTGGGGTCAAAATGATCAGGGATCTAGTGAATGACCTGCAGAGAGCAAGGACCAAAATAAAAAAAGGCTACAAACAGTAACACAGTACGCCGCCAGAGACTCAAATCCTGCAGAGCCAGATGTGTCCCCCTGCTTAAGCCAGTACATGTCCAGGCCCTTCTGAAGTTTGCTAGAGAGCATTTGGATGATCCAGAAGAGAATTGGTCAGATGAAACCAAATTAGAACGTTATGGTAAAAACTCAACTCGTTGTTTAATACAGGTAACAGGTGGAGGAGAGAGGAGCCTCTTAAAGATGGGGTTACACGTCTCTGAGAACCAAAAATCTTGCTTGTTTGTAGGTGACCAAATACTTATTTTCCACCATAATTTCCAAATAAATTATTTAAAAATCAGATGTGATTGTGATGTTCTGGATTTTATTTTTCTCATTCGATCTTTCATAGTTTAGGTATACCTATTGTCAGGAATGAAGCAGACAGAGACGGATCGTGGTGCGCCAAACTCTCAAAGTTTATTTAAGTTTCTCAAGATCCAGTGGTTTCAATTGTTTCTTTCTCTCAGACAGAATGGAGTCAGTACACAGTTTATATAGTCATTGTCACGTCACACATCGAATGACATACGTGTCACACAGAGACAGTGCACATCATAGTCAAAACATGGAGTCATCATCAGAGTCCTTGTACAGTCCTGCACGTAGGCCATATTGCTATCTAATACTAACACTATGATGAAAATTACGTGGGAGAATTTGCACAATTGAGACCAAAGTAACAAAGGCTACCATCAGTTACACACTTAGCCACCAGGAACTCAAATCCTGCAGTGTCAGACGTCTCTGTCATGATAGATATTTCTTATTATAGTGGGCTTATAAGACACAATAACATATAATAACACAAATAAATAGACACAGGCCAACATCAGGCACATAAACATAATTTAAATAAAGGAGTCTGCCACCTCCTCTAGGCTTTATTTTAAAAAAGACAATTTAAACACTTGACTTACAAATAAAAAATTAATCTTGACGTTGTCACTGCACCAGAACATATCAGGATCCTGGGTGAACGTTTCATGAAACAACGCGTTTCTAAATTAATCGTAAAAAAGACAATATATTAAAAAATGCACTTCACTTTCCACTTCATTGAGTTCACAAAAAACTCACCGTCTTTAAAGCTAATGAAAGAATTCTGGTACGTAACTGTGCCATCAAAGATCTGATTCCTGAACAGATTTGCTTTGAAGTAAAATTGTCTTTTACCTGAATGTTTGTAGTTTAAGTTTTGTAAAAATTACATTTTGCCACTGTTCTTCAAAATTGACCACTAATTTTGCTCTTATGCTGTTGACGCAGCATGGCAGATTATTCGAAGGTCTGTGGTCCAGGGTGACGTGGCTTTACTCCACTTAAGAACCTTTTTAGTTTTTCTGTTGTCTGGCATATTAATGATTCAATTTCACAATCTAACCATGTCACATTTTCTTTGGTGTGACATGGTTAGATTGTGACACTGCATGATTAAATGTATTATAACCCATGCAAGTGTGCATCCTAGGCCAACTAGTAATAGAGGGGAGAGACAGACGTGAGTGTGAATGTTGCATATGAATGAAATGGGGGAAAGAGTGCACGAGTGTGGAATGGCGTTTGTGTGTGTGTGGTGCAGTTTAATAAAGAAATGGCTGCATAGTTGCAGACGGACCCGCTCCTTCACATACACAAATAATTTCCTAGAATGAGTCTGGTGTGTGTGTGAATAGTTGGTGGTGGTGGGAGGGGCCAATGGCAGATACTGGTTGCCTGGCTTCTGTCAGTGTGGCCCAAGACTACTGTGGCTACAGTAGTAGTTCATCACCACTGTCTATGAAGTGAATGAATAATGTTGTGAAGAGACTTTGAGCGTCCAGAAAAGCTCTGTGTAACCCATGCATTAATATTATTATTAGTTTTAGCTCTGACTCGAGCTATAGCCTTTGCGGTTTTCTTTAGCTGAAGTTTAAAAGGGGGCTATCCTTATTAAAAACAGTTTTTTCTGATAAAACATGTATTTCCCACCTTTGCAATGTATGTTCGTGTTATACATAAGTAATAAATCAGTAAAATAACTTTTTAATACTAACGCCCCTGATTGGCCAGAAAAATTATGACTTGTACTTGTAGGGGTCGCAGCTCCCGCTTTACTGTTTGTGGCATTGCTCCTCCTGCCGCTTTAACACAAATAAACCTTAAAATGGTGTATTTTGTATGGCCCCGGGATGCAGCAATGAAAGTTACCAAAATAAGAGTGTAAACATTAGTCCCTACGATCTTTGACTTATTCAGAGAAGGCGACGGTCCAGACAAACTGAGAGAAGACACCAGCGCGAGTTCCATGAAATTAGTTCTATCAAGCTCCAACTGAAACCAATTTTACGAGTTTCAACCCAGTATTCAGCAGAAAACACAACAACTGTCATTGAACCATGAATCCATGTTTCACTCCAACTATGTTTAGTAAAAGATATAGATATGAGACATACCATCATGTTTCAGACTTTAGACTTTAGAACCACAGACACACGTTCAGAAAAAGACCATATATGTTTGCATTTGATTGAAGACACTCACCATTTCTCTCAAACTTAACATCTGGAGCTGGGACATAGAGTTGAGGCTTCTCTCTCGGTGTTGTGGGTATTGACGTTTTAGCTGGTGTTAGCTGATAAGAATAAACTAAAAATAATCCATCTTGTCAAACCACCTCCAGACGTTTAAGTTCTGTCCACTTTTACGGCTGGGATTTTTCATTTCACGGTAGTCACTTTTACGCTTCTAAACTTTTCTCTGCACTACGATGTCCGTGATATCCATTCCTTTGTCCCTAGTGCTACCTTCGCTAACACTTATTTACACTCATTCGGGTGGCACCATCGAGCTCAAACTGACCGCATCCGCAAACTGGGTCGCACCCGGTCGGACCATAGATCCATGACTCCAGCCCGTGGAAACGTTGTGTTGTGTGGAAATGTTGAGTTCTTGAAGCTTGCTCCTTACTCTGAACCGAGTCAAAGTCCTCAAAATCAGAAATTCTGTCAAAACAAGTACGCAAGGGCTCATAAATAAAAACCCCTGACTTGTATTGTCCATCACTGAATAACAAATATCTGTTTAAAACGTCCGTATACAACGTTATGGCTTACAAAGGCATATCAACAAAGCCCATGATCATTATTGATAGTTTCTATCTGTCAAAATGAGTTTTATTTAACACAAAAAAGACTACAATATACCAACAAAATAAGATTAGGTCCCTTTTAAAAATACAGTACATTCCTCTTCTTTTATTACAGGAAGTGCAGCTGCAGCTCCGCCCTTCTCTTCAACAGGCACACCCCCTTGTGACCAAACCACACCCCTGTCTAGACAAGCCCCTCCCCTTGAACCATTACCCTCACTTCCTGCCGCTCTTCCTCAAACCTCATCATCAATCCCTCGCACTGCGTCTGAGGCTTCTCCCACTGGAACAGGGCCTGATGGGGTGGGGCCTGCTGAGGGGGAGGAGCCTGCCACTCAGGGGGCAGGGCCTGATGATCAGGGGGCGGGGCCTGCTTCTCAGGGGGCGGGGCTGTACCAGGTGAAGTGGATCAACTGGAAGCACAAACAGACTCCGGTCGTCACTCAGAGTCAGAACGGACCCTGCCCCCTGCTGGCTATCATCAACACACTGCTGCTGCGATGGAAGGTACGTGACCTCTGCCCTCTTGGGTCTTGGCGCCCTGGCGTCGCTCCTGAGGCTCACTTTTGTTTCTCCAGGTTAAATTTCCTGCTCAGACTGAAGTTGTGACCACAGAGGAGCTGATGACACATCTGGGTAAAAGTCAACCAATCACAGAGCTTCAACTGTGTTTTGACCAATCACAGAGCTGCGTCTGTGCTCTGGCCAATCACAGAGCTGCGTCTGTGCTCTGGCCAATCCCTGTTGTTTGATTCCAGGTGAATGTGTCCTGTCCGTCACACCGCGAGAGAAGAGCCAGGGGGAGGAGCTTAACTTCCAGCAGGTTTATGTCACTCAAAACACACATACAGCCACCTGGGGGCAGTCTGAGCACACATGCAGCCATCTGGGGGCAGTCTGAGCACATATACAGCCTCCAGATTCAGAGCTGGGCTTACTTTAAATATTAAATAACCATGGGTGAAAGTCAAGGCCAGGGGGCCAGATCGCAAATTAATTATCTGGGCCCCCATGATGATTTGATTGTATTGTATTAGAACCGGCCCTCACAGAGCCATAAGAAAATATTGAATTATTAATTTAATTCTTGAATTCACTTATTTTCAACTTGAGTAGAGTTGAGTTAATGTTCAGGACATGTGTTTTAACTTTGAAGGAAGTTTGTTTTTGAGCCTGTTGAAAAATGTTCTCACAAATTACTGACATAGCCATACAAAAATAGTTGTTATTAAATAGAATAATCTACACTGTGTTAGGTTTTGGTTCAATAGGTTATATGCAATCACCTGTGAATATTCACCTGGTCTGGCCCTCGGCTTGTAGCAAATAGTTTTTTATGGCCCTCTGATGAATTTGAATGGAACATTCCTGGTTGAGACTTTCCTCATCCATGTTTCAATAGGACTTTTATTTCACATGTAATAAGTCTTTGTGACTTTTTATTACTTTGAAGTCTATCTCACTCTTTGTCACATGACCATGAAGAGCACTCTGTCCTTTATGTCTCTCTCCTCATAACATGAGTGATTTCACATTTCCTCCTCAGAACATCAGTGATGTCATGTCGGTGCTCCCAAAGCTCTGCACTGGTCTGGATGTGAACGTTCGTTTCACTGGAGTCTCTGATTTCGAGTTCACTCCTGAGTGCATCGTGTTTGACCTTCTGGACATTGCATTGTACCACGGCTGGCTCCTGGACCCACAGGTACTTTCCCACAGAAACACATGTACTATCCCTCAGGTACTGATCCACAGACGCACAGGTACTAATCCACAGACACACAGGTACTGTCCCACAGGTTTTGATCTACAGACACACAGGTACTAACCCACAATGACCCCAATGATCTGTTGTGGTCAGAGTCCGGAGGCTGTGGCTGCGGTTGGAAAACTCAGCTACAACCAACTGGTGGAGAAGATCATAGACTGTAAACACTCTTCTGACAGCAGCAAGGTGTCACAAGGTCAGTGGTGCCTTCTATTTGCTTCAGTCGTATTGCTTTAGTCGTGTCCTTAAGTCCCCAGTCCAGTCTCCAGCCCAGTGGACACCGCCTTTGGCTGCCCCGGGCCCCCCTGCCCCCACATTCCCAGCCCTCACCTCTGACAGTACACCCCCCCCCCCCCCTCTCCATCACACCGGACCAGATGAGGAGTGAGCTCAAGCGACTGAAGCAGAGGAAATCCGTAGGACTGGGCAAGATCAGTCACAGGCTGCTGAGTTCTGTGCAGACCAGCTCTCTGGTCCTCAGCTACATCTACAACCTGCGCCTGAGCCTGGAGAAGGTCCCTATCCCTTGGAAGACCTCCTGTGTCAGCGCACGCCAAGGAACCGGCTCACTACAGACCAGTCGCACTGACCTTCCACCTGATGAAGACCATGGAGCGGCTCATCCTCACCCATCTCCGCTCTGTGGTCAGCCCCACCCTGGACCCGCTACAGTTTGCCTACAGGCCCAACATCGGAGTAGAGGACGCCGTCATCTACTTCTTGCAGCGGACACTCTCCCACATGGAGCCCGCCGGGAGCGCTGTGAGGGTCATGTTTTTTTAATGCTCCAGTGCATTCAACACCATCAGACCGGCACTGCTGTGGGGGAAGATGAAGGACGTGGGAGTGGACAGTCACCTCACTGCATGGACCATCGACTACCTCTCGGCCCGACCACAGTACGTGCGGCTGCGCAGCTGTTAGTCTGGGGTCCTCTCAGGGCACTGTCCTCTCACAGCTTCTCTTCACCATCTACACTTCAGACTTCACATATGACACACACAGCTGCCACCTGTAGAAGTTCTCCGACGACTCTGCCATCGTGGGCTGTGTGTCTGAGGGGAATTAACTGGAATATTGGTCGGTTATCACGGACTTTGTCGACTGGTGTGAGCGCAACCACTTGTGCTTGAACCTGAGACCAAGGCTTCAGGAGAAAACCGCTTCAGGAGAAAACCGCTTTACCACATGCTTCTGAACATACAGGGGGAGGACATTGAGGTGGTGGACAGCTTCAAGTACCTGGGTGTTCAAAAACAAAAAACTGGACTGGTCCCATAACGCCAACGCCCTGCACAAGAAGGCCCAAAGTCGTTTCTTCCTTTTGAGGAGGCTGCGGTACTTCGGATTGATCAGGCCTCTGCTCAGGACTTTTTATGACTCTGTGGTAGCCTCTGCCATACACTACGCAGCCGTGTGCTGGGCCCCAGGCAGCACAGAGGGAGACAGGAGTAGACTCAACAAGCTGGTCAGGAGGGCCAGCTCCACTCTGGGCTGCTCCCTGGACTCTGTGGAGGAGGTGAGGGACAGGAGGGTGCTAGCCAAAGTCACCTCCATCATGGACAACACCTCCCACCCACTGCACAGTACTGTATAGGAGCTGAGGAGCTCCTTCAGTGGAAGACTGAGGCACCCTCAGTGCAAGAAGGAGCGCTACTGCAGGGCCTTTATCCCCACTGCTGTCAGACTGTACAATAAGTCACTTTAAGTCACTTGCACTAAGACTAAAAAACCTGCATTACTATTGCCACTGTTTCTTTAATTAGGCCCGAGCCCAGAACGGGGTAAGGGCCAATTGCTTTCACTATGGTGAATGCAAATGGTGGCGGTGCGTGTCACCCCGACGTAACGGTTGCGTGCGTAAACTCAAACGCTTTAAAATGTTGTTTCACGTGCCATGGAAACCTAATATTGTTTTTGCTCGAGACGTCAAAAAAATATTCCATCCATCCGTCCATCCATTTTCTTCCGCTTTATCCGTTGCCGGGTCGCGGGGGCAGCAGTCTAAGCAGAGACGCCCAGACTTCCCTATCCACACACACTTCCTCCAGCTCGTCCGGGGGGACCCCAAGGCGTTCCCAGGCCAGCTGAGAGACATAGTCCCTCCAGCGTGTCCTAGGTCTTCCCCGGGGCCTCCTCACGGTGGGACGTGCCCGGAACACCTCCCCAGGAAGGCGTCCAGGAGGCATCCGGAACAGATGCCCGAGCCACCTCAATTGGTTCCTCTTGACGTGGAGAAGCAGCGGCTCTACTCCGAGCTCCTCCCGTGTGACTGAGCTCCTCACCCTATCTCTAAGGGAGCGCCCAGCCACTCTGTGGAGGAAGCTCATTTCGACCGCTTGTATCCGCGATCTCGTTCTTTCGGTCATTACTCAAAGCTCATGACCATAGGTGAGGGAGGGAACGAAGATTGACCGGTAAATCGAAAGCTTTGCCTTTCGGCTCAGCTCCCTTTTTACCACAACGGTCTGATACAGCGACCGCATCACTGCGCACGCTGCACCGATCCGCCTGTCAATCTCACGCTCCATTCTTTCCTCACTCGTGAACAAGACCCCGAGATACTTGAACTCCTCCACTTGAGGAAGGACCTCTCCACCCACCTGTAGAGGGCAAGGCACCTTTTTCCGGTCGAGCACCATGGCCTCGGATTTGGAGGTTCTGATTCTCATCCCAGCCGCTTCACACTCGGCTGCAAACCGCCCCAGTGCATGCTGCAGGTCCTGGTTCGTTGGAGCCAACAGGACAACATCGTCCGCAAACAGCAGAGATGAAATCCTGTGGTCTCCAAACCGGACCCCCTCCGACCCCTGGCTGCGCCTAGAAATTCTGTCCATAAACCCAGTGAACAGAACCGGTGACAAAGGGCAGCCCTGTCGGAGGCCAACATTCACCGGGAACAGGTCTGACTTACTGCCGGCAATGCGAACACAACTCTGGCTCCGGTCATACAGGGATCGGATGGCCCTCAGCAGAGGACCTCCGACCCCGTACTCCCGGAGAACCCCCCAAAGGACACCCCGGGGAACACAGTCGAATGCCTTCTCCAAATCCACAAAGCACATGTGGACAGGTTGGGCGAACTCCCATGAACCCTCGAGTATCCGATGGAGAGTATAGAGCTGGTCCAGTGTTCCGCGACCGGGACGAAAACCACACTGCTCCTCCTGAATCCGAGATTCGACCATCGGCCGTAGCCTCCTCTCCAGTACCTTGGAGTAGACCTTACCGGGGAGGCTGAGGAGTGTGATCCCACGATAATTGGAACACACCCTCCGGTCCCCCTTCTTGTAGAGAGGGACCACCACCCCGGTCTGCCACTCCATTGGCACCGCCCCCGATCGCCACGCGATGTTGCAGAGACGTGTCAGCCAAGACAGTCCTACAACATCCAGAGACTTTAGATAATCAGGACGGATCTCATCCACACCCGGAGCCTTGCCACCATGGAGGCTGCCAACCACCTTGGTGACCTCAGCCAGGGAGATGGATGTATCTGCCCCAACATCCTCAGCCTCTACCTCTGTAACAGAGGACGTGACGGGGGGATTGAGGAGAACCTCAAAGTATTCCTTCCACCGCCCGACAATATCCCCAGTCGAGGTCAGCAGCTCTCCACCCGCACCGTACATGGTGTTGGCAAAGAACTGCTTCCCCCTCCTGAGGCGCCGGATGGTTTTCCAGAATCTCTTCGAGCCCGACCGATAGTCATGCTCCATGGACTCTCCGAACTCCTCCCAGTCCCGGGTTTTTGCCTCTGCAACAGCCCGGGCCGCGGCACGCTTGGCCTGCCGGTACTGGACAGCTGCCTCAGGAGTCCCCCGAACCATCATGGCTCGATAGGACTCCTTCTTCAGCCTGACAGCATCCCTTACTGCCGGTGTCCACCACCGGGTTCGGGGGTTGCCGCCGGGACCAGCACCAGTGACCTTGCGACCACAGCTACTAGCCGCCGCATCGGCGATTGAGGCAGAGAACATGGTCCACTCGGACTCCATGTCCCCCTCCTCCGCCGGGACCTGGGAGAAGCGCTCCCGGATGTGTGAGTTGAAAGTCCGTCTGACAGGGGGCTCAGCGAGACGTTCCCAGCAGACCCTCACTATACGCTTGGGTCTGCCAGGTCTGACCGGCTTCTTCCCCTGCCAGCGGATCCAACTCACGACCAGGTGATGATCGGTTGACAGCTCCGCCCCTCTCTTTACCCGAGTGTCCGAGACACGCGGTCGAAGGTCAGATGATCGATCATCGACCTCCGGCCTAGGGTGTTCGTGATGGACAAACTGTGACTGGCACAGAAGTCCATCAACTGAACACCGCTCGGGTTCAGATCAGGGGGGCCGTTCTTCCCGATCACCCCTCTCCAAGTGTCACTGGCGTTTCCCACATGGGCGTTGAAGTCCCCCAGGAGAATAACGGAGTCCCCGGGCGGTGCACCGTCCAGTACCCCTCCCAAGGACTCCAAGAAGGCCGGGTACTCTGCACTGCTGTTAGGCCCGTAGGCCGTCACAACAATGAGAGACTTGTCCCCCACCCGGAGGTGGAGGGACGCGACCCTCTCATTCACCGGTGAGAACTCCAACACGTGGCGGCTGAGATGGGGGGCAATGAGAATGGCCACCCCAGCTCGCCGCCTCTCCCCACGGGAAACTCCAGAAAAGTGGAGCGTCCAACCCCTCTCAAGGAGTTGGGTTCCAGAGCCCAAGCTGTGTGTGGAGGTGAGGCCGACTATCTCTAGTCGGTATCGCTCAACCTCCCCCACGAGCTCGGGCTCCTTCCCCCCCAGTGAGGTGACGTTCCACGTCCCAAGAGCCAGATGTTGTGTGTGCGGACTGGGTCGCCGAGGTCTCCGCCTTCGACTGCCGCCCAGTCCTCTCAGCACCGCGCCACCACGATCCCCTCTGCAGGTGGTGGGCCCACAGGAGGGACTGCCCACGGCATCCCTTCGGGCCGAGCCCGGCCGGGCCCCGTGGGCTAAGTCCCGGCCACCAGGCGCTCGCATACGAGCCCCGACCCCAGGCCTGGCTCCAGGGTGGGGCCCCGGCTGCGCCATGCCGGGCGACGTCACTGGTCTATTATTGTGCTGTCCATGGTGGTTTTTGGACCGCTCTTCGTCTGACTCGTCACCTGAGACCTGTCTGCCATGGGAGGCGCTACCAGGGGCATGAAGCCCCAGACAGCATAGCTCCCAGGATCATC